ATGAAAATGAAAATTATTTACCATAAACATCGCAAACTAAAAACCTAATAAACAATTTTATACCGAATATAGAAATAAATTCAGTATTCTTACCTATTATCGTCCAAATCCATGTTAATAGATAATTATTATTTTTAAACATATTTTTGGAACTGCTGGTTTTAGTAATTATTAAATTAAACGAACTAAAAAGTCTTAAAAATAAACAATTCTTAACCATAACCCCAAAAATGCAGATCTCCTGTCAACTTTCTTTATTTTTTATTTATTCATTATTTTCATAGTGACGTCACAGGTGGTATGCGCGAACTGAACGAAATTGGAGCCGCTATCGATCATACCTTGTATTCTTTGTACCATGCGCTTTTGATAACTGTCTGCAGCTGATTGAGCCACGATCTTTTTGTCTGCCCCAGGGAATAGGTACATTAAAGAAATGCTAACTTCATGTTAAAAAATGGAAACAGACGCCACCTGGTGTCGCCTGGCAGTACTAGCTAAATTGAGGGGAATTGGAAGGGCGGGGCTTAAAAGAGGGGAAATTTTAAAAAAAATATTTTTATAAGTCTCACTGACTTACTGTTTAAAGTTAATAAACATATTTTTTATTACTTTAATATAATTTAAAGTATTAAAAAATATGTCTATTAACTTTACACAGCAAAGCAATGATATTATTAAAGACTTATTATTTTCAGAGAAAATTTATAGTAAATAAATTACACATTTAGTAAACAATATCATTTATTTTTTAGAGCTGGGATTTATATTATAATAATATTGAAATATATGTATTTTTTTAACAATGAAAAAGAATATCCGGGAACCTGAAAAAGAAAGATGGTCAATTAATGACTTAAATTAGTTAAAAATACATTTTGCAAATAACTAGTGAATTGGAAAGATAAACATCTATTAAAAATACATTTTAGTAGTATGTTATCAGTGATAATACATAAGTATATAATAGGTAAATAATAAGGCACTATGATACAACTACCTAGTAGTTGTATCATAATAACTCACTAATATCACAAAAAATATGTGCAAATTTAAATTCCTTTAATGATCTAATCAAACACTATCTAGCCTCAATGCATGCCATTCCAAAGGCAAAAAAAACTATTATACCAAATAAATATAAGGTTAATAAAACATAAACCAAGCCAACGTGCATAAACAACCAAAAAATGCATCAAAAAATACTTTTATCAGATCATACCCTTGGATATATTATGTATTTTATATATCGCACATCCTGTTCAAAAGTTTACTAACTAAAATAGAGAATATAGAGAACATTGTCAACAGAAGTAAAAGAAAATTTAAGTTAAGGCAATATGCTCCTTTTTGCATATTAATAGCCAAATAATATAATGTTGATTTAATAAAATTTTACTGGCATCCTTCTGAGGTATAAATCAGATTAAAAGGATATTGTTTTTGTAATAATTGTTTCTTTTTGTTAACATTTTTTGAAGACAATACAGTTTTGAACGGGCTGTGCGATATAAACAAGGATCTTACTATTATTTGAGGTTAGAAAGTATTTAAATAACATAAAACATAATCAAAATCATTTTTCATCATAAATTATAGAGGTACTTACGTGTTTTGATATTATTTTCAGGAAATAATACGTTTAGTTAAACAGGTACGCTGCCAGGCAAGTTCTATCGGCGGGTCTTTGCAAAAGTTGAAATCTAAAAATACAAACTACGTTTACATCTTAGTTGTATTTACGAATAAAGTATTTGTGTGTAATTTCTGACTTACCAGTTAATTGAATAATCGCATTAAATACATCCAAATGGTAATTTAATATTGTAAAAAGCAAAATTGTTTTAAATCACTTGCCAGGACAGCCGGCCAGCTTCTTTGTTGACAAAATGGCCGCGGTATCATGATTTAAGCAATGTGAGTGACAAAGAAAGCCAATGCCTGGCAAATGTTGCTTTCTTTGTCGTTTATCCTGGCACGTTTAATTTGACTGTTGCCTGTTTTCCCATACAAGTGACACCCCCCTGTGGTCTGCCCTTTGCATACGGCTTTTAAAATAAATAAATATGACATTTCACCAATCGGCATGCAAATATGCCATAATTTTTTTCATTCTTCAAATTTCATTTTTTAATAATTTTTAAAATTTCATGCCTCTTTCGCGTTGTCTGTCGGCATTTTAGCGATTAGAAAAATGTCTGCCAACAATTTTCCACGTTTCTAAATAATAAATAAAAGCTATTTTCGCAATTATAACTCATGTATCTTATAATATTTTTAGTGTCAAAATTTCACCTTTTCGATTGGTCGCCCCCGCTTTAAGCCCCGAGATCGCGCTGGCAGACATGACTATTTCACAGAGAAATAGAAGGGATAGAGAATGAGCTTCAACATGCGCAGAAGGTCTAATCAAGTTGGGCGCCATATTCCAGGTCTCCGTGTCATTTTGTATATAGGTGGTAATCTATAAGTAATCAAATATCAATTTGCTGTTTTCAACCATACGGGGGCAATTTAAATTTAGTGAAATTCTATCATTTATTATGATTAGTTAACATTAATATGATTTATTTAATTATCAGTTTCAAAACTGCGTACAATATTGGTATATAATACACTAAATATACGAATATTCTAACAAAAGACGCTACGGACAGATGACCTTTTCGTCGTTAAACACTCGAAATGATATTAAATAAGTATTTACAATATTTCATGTTTACTTGTACTGAATTACGCGTTTCAATTTAAAATTTTTGCAAATTTGGTAAAAATTGTTCTAAACAACTTTTTGTTCAAGTTGTATATTCATAAAAAACATTTGGTTCATAATTATTTTTGATGATTATCTACCTTGTATTTTTAATATAAACCTAGAAAAAATATGTTTTTGTTTTATTTTTTTTATTCGTCCCTTCAAATTATGTTTCAAAAACTGTTACATAACATGTCCTCTAACAAATATTTTCATAATACATAAACATCATTGATTTTATTAAGGGTATTATTATTAGTATTTATCCTGGTTTTTGTCGACAATAAAAACTCAATCTTGTAATAGAACATCAATTTTATATTTCGTAAAATTATTTTGATACAAATTCAATTTGTCAAAATTCAAGTCATTAATATATTGATAAACAACCCAAATTATTCCTAAATATTTTATTATAAAAAAAAACTGTTACCGGTAAGTTTGTAAAACACATTATGGTTTGTCGTAATACTAGAAAAAATCATTTATTTTTTGCACAAAAGAAGCTTGTCGATCCTTATTTGTCCATAACAAAATTCTGTATGTACAACATACATATACCTAATTTATTATTAAGAAAATTAGATTATATGATCTCAGAATTTTAAGAAAATTTTTTTTAAGATAAAATAGTTTCTTCTCAACTGTAATATTGTCAACTTTGGCCTGTATTTTATCTATTTAAAAACATGGGATTGACAATTCCCTTACTAAAATACATACTGGAAGGTACCGATTAAGTTTCATTGCATCAAATACCTTTGCTATAAATCCTGGCTCACAATTTAAGGCCATTGCAAAATGCTTTTGAACTTCATCATAGATTTTACAAGAATAAAAGTGTAATATTGAAACAAAGTAACATTGTAAGCTTCATGACTAATAGTCTCGTTTTTAACACTCTTCAAATATCATCTCGTTAACAATTATGAATATTATATGATTTTTCTCAGTGATTTGTGGCACAGATACAAATTAATACCGTATGATCGAAAAAAAACGGCGTCCAGTGGCTGGGAAATGACAATCGATGACATATCCCATATAAATTTACATATAAAATGACAGCGATCTTCATTTCATAGCCATCGCTGACGCCGTTTTTTCTCGATCATACGGTATATGCCCCATAACAGTTTTTAAATAAGAAATTTCTGCCTACAGATTTAATTTTCTTATTGGCATAATACCCTTTCTTCCTATATAAATCTTGCCATTTTTTCAGTCCAATGTTCCTTGTTTTTACAGTTCTAGGAATACTAAAAATGTTGACTATAGAACTTGATACTATGTTTGAAAAAGCCTTCATACCTGTAACTGTGCATAAATCTAATTAACTGAATTCTCCTCCTCTTGACACTCTGAACACTGCTGCTGCTAATGTTAGAAATATTTAGCACAAAACTACAACTACCTACAACAAACTTTTCAATAAAAATGTTAAATTTTCGCTGTTCGATTAAAATACCCTATCTTATGTTTCCTTTTCCTCCAAATAATCTTCTTGTCAAGTAAGGACCAACCTTATTTGACATATTTCTGGTACACTTGAACTTGTGCTTTCATGGACACTATAAGAGTGCACTGTTTTACAGAAGCACGAACATTGATTCCAAGTATCTTCTTCCTCCACACGTAATAAAAACATCTTCTTTAAATGGCCACATCATACCTTGGTTTTTGACCATTCCTTACTACAATCACGATTTTTTACAAATCGCTTTTTTAGGAAAACTAAAATAAACAGTTTTGAATCATCTGTAAACACGATTATGTTGTATAAACTTACACATGAAAACTAATCATTATTCCCGGCGTATTAGCTTTCTTAGAATGACTATGAATATACAACAAGCCTTTTTGAATTAGTGTTTAGAATAATTGAGATAATAATAAATTTTAACTAGATAACAACACAAACGAAAAACAAAACAAAGAGATGTCAATTAAAGAGGGGAAGTGACAGCGAGACCTGGAAGATGTCTGCCATCTTGCCGTCGACAAAAATTTGGATGCGCACTCGTCGAAGCTCATTCTCCCACTTCCATATCTCTGCTATTTCATAATGGCTACACAAAAGGATGCTTCACACAAAAAATTAGCCATGTAACGATGATAAGGTTTTTTATGTAGCCAGCTCTTAGGCTATTATATCCTTCCTTAATCTTTTTATATTATTCTATTTATTTCTTTATATATTCTATTTATTTTTGCTTACTCAATAATAGTACTTTGTGATGTGTAGGTGCCATATTAGTACTAGGAGGCTTCGCGTTGAACTCGCTGGTTGGTTCCATGCTGCTACAACCGGCAAAATGGCATTACATCCTTGAGGAGAAAAATATAGAGGAAGGAGAATACAAACAGGTATATTAATAAAAAAAAATAATATTTAATGAAATAATCAAAAATTGTGTTCTTTTTTGTCTCGCTGCAGAGAATATTATTCTTCTTTGCGTCCAGTGAGGTAAACAACTATTTTTAATGTATTAAATGCTTGAAATTAATGTCTTTTGACATGACAGTCTAATTTTTTTTAGTTAAACAGTTAGTAGTATATTGAATGAACAATATAGCAATATCATAAGAAAACCCTTCTATTTTTTAGAAACTTTCAAAACATTTTGTTCCAGTAGTCTTTTTTGCATGCGTATTAAATCATTATCAATCAATGTTCTGTTATTTAAGATTTTTTCTTTTAAAGACCCCATTCCATCTAAAAATATTTTTTTATCCAACAGCCACTACATGCATGTATACATGCCTATAAAATAAATAGTAACAGACGCGAAAAAAAAAATAACAGACGCGTGAGTTTTTGAAGTTATAACAGACTAGTGTGTTATAACTTCCTGTTCCTAGGTATCTAAACTATGATACTTGATCATTAATTTTGTTTTTTACTACCAGTTTGCATCTTACCGGCTTTTTAGAGAAAATTCAGCATTTAGTTTCTTCTGTAGAGATAATCATATTTACTACTTTAAAAAAATTGTACTTTTAAATCTGTTTATACTATTTGGAACGTTTGAAATTGTTTAAAAAATTATTTGTGATGTTTGAAATAATATAGCATGACTTTTTGTACCTCGCTACGTAGTACCTACCATAAAAAGTATGATTTTTACTCTTAATAAAACAACAATATACTATTGTTAAAACATACCTTTTCAATACAAGAATTACCTTTTTTCATATTCTAATCGGAAAATTTTGATAAAGTTTTTTATATGAAATACTACTCATTATTTTCCTCATGAAACTTATAGGAAAAAAATTGGCACCGAGAGGCACGTATAGCCGGCCATACTAAAATATGTTAATATCTCGAAAACTGCGACTTTGACTGATTTTGATGTTATTACAAACTTTGTTTTTCCCGCGACTACGTTCGCGTTACACCTCGAATAGTTCATGCCTTGATTTAAATGATTTACTTTGTATATAGAGCTAGTGAGCCTTACAAATGCCCTATTTAAACTATGTTTTTAAGAGTTTTAGAGCTACTCGTATTTCATATGAAAGTTATCAATTGTCGATTTTCTGGGTATTATACAGGGTAAGTCTTGAATAAGTGCAAATATTTCCAGGGCTGGTAGATCTCGACAAAAAAAAACATATTTTCTCTTTACCGTTTTTCAAATAACTCCAAAATAACTGAGTTATTTTACTTTAAAAATTTCCAAAAAATAATATTTTTTGTTTAAATTTTGAGAACCACTGCAGCTTTTCGGGTTTTTCTGTCTTGTAAATTTAAGCTACTACCTATCTATGTTGTCATATTATCAAGAAATTATGTTTTTTAATTAAAAACTAAAAAAAATCCAAAAGGTTTTTCATAAAATTCCAAATTTTCAAAAAAAAATTCGCGAAAAAACTCATAATCGTGTTTCTGGGGTCAAATATACCTAATACCGCTAAGAATAATTGCACTTATTTAAGACTCGCTCGACAAAAAATCGAATAAAAATAAAAATTTTATACTGCTAGATGTTATAGTAATGCATTTTCGTACAGCAAACTTTCATTCCCTATTCTACCCCCTAAGATTATAAATTTCATAAAATCGCTTTATCCAAATAATTAACTCATGTCTTTTAAATGATCCTTTGTGCCAATTTTTATGTGTATAATCCAGAGGTCACCAAGTTTTATATAAATTTTTACTAACTTTATCCATTTGGTTGATGCATTTCAAAAATCTCTTCTAATTCTTTTTGTTGGATTTCATTCTTCTAGACCACATAGTAAGGAATTTTCATACAAAAAATTGTTCCGACATAATTTTACTCTCTAAGAGGATGCATTTCCTAAAATCGCTTTGTGTAGCTAATTCACTAATGTCGTTTAAACGAACCTTTGTTCTAATATTTATGTATCTAAAGCTGGCTGTATGAACTAATCCCTAAAATATCTAAAAACTTGATATATAATCTAACTGACAAACCACTGACAATGACAAATAATTTATTTCTGGATGTATTGTGTGTAGGTGTTTTTCAGGTATGTTTTAATATTTAGTCGATTTACACAAAGAAATAGCCATTCAACAATTTAAAAATACTTCATAACAAATCTAGACATATATACCTTTCATTAAAAAAAGAATCATCAAGATTGGTAAAGCAGTTTCGGCGGGATGGATGTAACAAAAAAACCCGTTGAGCTTTTATATATGTATGGATTTTGTTGCAAATATTATTCCTAATCTTAATTTGAAAACCGCATTTCGCTAGCTACTGTAATTTTGGAGTTACGATTTTTTAAAATTTTTAACCCCCTGCCATACCCCCTTACCAACCCCCCACCCCCACCAAAAACTAATGGCCAGATTCTCGGGTGCCATAGTATTTTTGTGCCAAATTTGGTTAGGTTTGGTTTTGGTAAATCGGTTCAGTGGTTTTTGAGTTATCGTGTTACAGACGGCAGAATTTATATAAAGCCTTGTAGCTTGTTTTTAATCAGTAGTCTATAGTCTGTAAAACGAATAACTTTGAATTTGACAGTTCCCGCGGGCTTTTCTAGTGTTAATTTTATTAGGTTATCAACTTGCGGCCATGCTGACGCAGACGCAATGCCGTCTCTAATATAACAGCCTCAGAGCGAGATTTATGACGTCACGCTAGTTAGATACTACGGATTAATAAATATGTTGTAGAATACATGGAAAACATAATTATTCCTCGTATTTTTGGTTGTATTTTAAAAATGATAGTTTACATGAAATATACATAATATACAGTTAATAAATACAATATATATACCTATTTATAGTAATAAATACTTTGGCAGATAAACTATAAACCATACAAATGCAGCAAATGTTTTACAATATGGCTGAAATCGTACTTCATAGTCAATGTAGATAGTTTTTGTGTTAAGAATAATAATTTAAAAAAAATATGTGATCATCTTTTGACAAGTTTATATTAATTTATTAATTGCAGTAAACATTATAATATATAAATAAATTTTGTGATTGCAAATAATTAAAATTAGATTATAATTAAATTAGATCGATTTTCAAACCCCAAAATTTAAAATATATTTTTACATTTTACCATTATCTTATGCACCAACTATTCATTATTTGTATATTGTAAAAAATTTGCTGCATTTGTATGGTTCATAGTTTATTTGCCAAAGTATTTATTACTATAAATAGGTATATATTATATTGTATTTATTAACTGTATATTATATATATTTCATGTAAACTATATCATTTTTAAAATACAAACCAAAAATACGAGGAATAATTATGTTTTCCTTGTATTCTACAACATATTTATTAATCCGTAGTATCTAACTAGCGTGACGTCATAAATCTCGCTCCGTGGCTGTTCTATTAGAGACGGCATTGGTCTAATATTTAGAAATGTCAAAAGCTGATGACATTTTACTTTTGTCAATTATGACATTTCGTGTTGATTTTTGCAAGACTGTCACTTGTTTTATTATTTTCCTTTTCTATTTCACGAAAGTAAAAAGAGTTACCTATCTGATTCGTTCAGGCACTGAATTTAAAGAATATCAGTAACTTTTTTGACAGAGGGATTTTATATTTGCCATGTTGGTAAAAAATAACGGTCAAAATTCAAAGTTATTCATTTTATAGACTATATTAATTGTTTAACTTATATTTTTCCCGAATATGTTTTGTGCATGTGTATTAAAAATTTATCTATCAAGATTCTATGCTTCAAGCTTGCAAAAAATATAAACATAGGTACACATTTCTCATTCCTCTCCAAAAAAAGCCTGTTGAATGCAAGAGTGAAATCTCTTTTTCTATAAACACCTAAAAAGGTTCATTATTAAATATTAATCATTTGTAATTTTGTTATTTTCTACTAGGAAATGGAGACAATAAAAGAAGATGGCGAAGATGACGATGCAGAACTAGAATCGAATACCTTGATTTCGAATAATTTAGGCGTGAGGACCTTCGAAGAACTGAAAGCTGGAGGATTAACGAGAAAATCCACTTTTCCAAGGAATTTTTCCACCATGAGCTTCGTGGGAAACAAGGGCAAACGCAGATCATCCAAGGAATCGATCGTGAGCAGTTATTCTAGGCTGGATTTCACTGGGTCCAGTATACAACTTCATATTGATGTAAGTTCTGTTTTGGTATTATATACAGGGCGTTTCAAAACAAATGCGAAAAACTTCAGGGGCTGATTCCTTGTTCAAAATAAAGGGTAGTTTGCTACATAAACGTTGGGTCAAAAGTCAATCATTAGGGAGATATCGCGGTGTAGCATTTTTTATTTCCTTTAATAAAATTGAATTTAAAAATCTATTTTTATTTAAATTTCTTAGTATTGGCGCCATCTATTTGCTAGATGCCAAAGATATCAAACTTCATTTATTACAGTTCACTTGTCTTGTTTATTAGCGCCATCTATTCGCTATATGTCAAACTTCCTTAATTGCATTTCACTTGTCCCAATATTTAATTTTTATTAGCGCATCTATTCGCTAGATGTCAAACTTCATTTATGACAGTTCGGTTCTGAAACTGACAACTGAGAAGAAGGTCTTTTTTTTCTTTCTGGGAATTTGGATCTGAAGAGGACGCGTGTTCCGGCGCCCGACAAATTTTCCAGTGAAAAGCACTCTGAATCCACTTTTCGATTTCCATTGCATGGGTATCCGATTTGGAGATTTGAAAACCTTGTAAAGTATGCAATCCAGAGTATAGATCGTATTTGTTTGGTTTCTTCTTGGAATGACCACCGTAAGTTTATCCACCATTTTATATAGCCCTATCTAACTAAATTCTATTTCAGTTATTTCCGTTCGTTTATTTGAGTATTTAATTACTGGTTTGGATCGGCATATGGTTTGAATGGTGCTTGTCAGATATAACACCCTCCGAATTTGGCATTTATTTATATATCAGTCGAAAGCATACACTTAAATAAGAATTTTAAGCAAAAAAAAAATTGCGGATGAACCACAATTTATTGAAAAATAAATAAATTAAAAGTGCATTTTTAGGTTATGGTGAAGTTGTATAAGCGTGTAATTATTGTAAAATTTGACGATTATATGCATTTTTTATTAATATAAAGGTCAGAATTAATCAGTGAGAAGCATTAATAAGTCATACGTCAAAAATAGAGTTGGTGATATCTTTTGTAATATTTGCCTGATCAATTTACTCTTTCGATTCAAACTTGCCGCCGGAGCCGTCTGTCACCATTTGTTGTTAAGGATGTAAGCTGCCTAAGCATTGTTGCCAAAGTTATTTCTTGTTTGTATGATACATAATACCGTATGATCGAAAAAAAAACGGCGTCCAGCTGGCTTGGAAATGACGATCGATGACATTCCCCATATAATTTTACATATAAAATGACAGCGATGTTCATTTCATAGCCATGGCTGACGCCGTTTTTTTTCGATCGTTCGGTACGTTACATGATACAAAAAAAGAGTTGAGACCGAAAGAGTTTTGATTGCGTTGGTTTCAACTTTTCCGTGAGTGTGTTAATCTTTTGTTTTGTTTTTTATTTTAATACGAATCTGATTGCTTTCACTTGATTTTACGTGCCGGTCGCCGGACGAACAAATCCTTATACAGTAGCGCTGTCACGATAAGAACAGATTATAAGTTATTTTAAAATCAAGATATTGAAAGCACTCAGATTCGTATTAAAATATAAAAAAACAACAGATTAACCCCCAAACAAGTTGAAACCAACGCAATCAAAACTCTTTCGTGCAACTTTGTAGTTATAAATAGTCAGATCTCGTAGGCAAAATATCAGCTATGGGTAGGAGCAGTTCCTCAGACGATCGCCTTTTCTTGATTTTAAAATAATCTGTTGTCATAGTCTGTTGTTAACGTGAGTTTTCTTCCGACCAGCACGTGTTTTTTTAATGAACCTTTCAAGAAGAAATAAATGAATCTGGCAACGCCGACAAAATTTGGAGGAGTTTTCGCATAGAAAGTAGCCTGTTGTAGCAATAATTAGATGTTTATTTTTTCATTAAATTATGGATCATCCACACTTTTTTTGGCTTGAAATACTTATTTCGATGTATGTTTTCGAGTGATATAAAAAAAGTACAAAATTCGGAGGGTGTTATATCTGACAAGCACCGGTTTGAATATATTTATGAAAAGCTGATTTTCAGACCGTAAGTTGTTTTTTTTATTGAGTATCTGTCCTGAGAACTATTTTTTATTTATAGAGTAACTACCACATGGTACTCAGTAACTACCACATGGTACTCAGTAACTACCACATGGTACTCAGTAACTATCACATGGTACTCAGTAACTACAACATGGTACTCAGTAATTACCACATGGTATGCAGTAATTATTGTATGTTTCACCCACTTTCATTTTGTATGGACCTATGCAGACCTTAAGACAGTGTTCCTGACATTACAATCGTTCTTTTGGCTGATATCGAAGACTTCTCCTGCCATAGTCATCTGCATCCACTTCTGTTAGTCTGGAGAATACCTACCTACCTGTTTACGTCATAAGAAACTATATATAGATAAGTCTCTCTCTCTCTTAAGTTTGATAGACAAGGTACGATTTTATTTTATAATTTTTGAGACAACAGATTTAATAACCTGGTAAATTATCACTATTTATCCCACATATTGTAGTCAAAATTATTTTTTATTTAACGTTATAAGTAATAATTTGATTCGTACAGTACACTCTTACTTAGCTATGATATTTTATATGAAAATTATTAACACGTATTCATTTTAAAGGTTTTTGTACACGACATGTTTCGAAACATCATCGTATTAAGACATACATAAATTTCACCTGTTTTTATTAAGTAGCTTACTTAGTTCAAAGAATACAGTTACTAAATTCAAATCTATTTAAAATAACTTGCGGTTTTATTAGGATCACTGTGACTAATTAATGATACTCGTGTTCGTTTTCAATAAATGTTTAATGTAGGATAGTTATTTCTGACTTTTATTCCTAATAAACATAATAGACCCTTAATGCTGTTGATTACTTTATTTTAGCTATGTTGTGATATCGTATTTTTCTTTTTTGGTTTCTTACTTTACCACTCTCATAAACAAAGTAAGTGGCGCCCTTTTCACTGTCTTTGACCATACCTATTTGAATTCTTAACATCAATATTAAAATCTCTGCAGCCTATATATTATCATTTTTTATTTTAATATTTAACAACATTAGAAAGTCACTGTGAGTCAGAAGCCTTATCTACGAACCCAGCTTTCCTCTAACCCTGAGCAACGGATTCTTTTTTCATTCTATTTGGGTAACGACAGAAAAGTCGTCACACATAGAAGATGGCGGAAAAATAATGTTTTAATTTTTTATCTTGAAAACGAAAAGAGATGGACTAATGAAATTTTATGGAAGCATTACTGTTATGAAAACACACTTTCTGGTAATTTTCTCACTTTTTTAAAATGAGTGGAAAGGGTTGAAATAAACTACTCCTATTATACTTGTTAACGAAATTTAAAGAAAAATCTTATCAAACACATGCAAAAATTAATTTGAGATAGTTTAGTTTGTTTAGAAACTTTTTACCTCTTGTGTTTTTTGATAAAACTCACCGATTTGAAATTAAAAAAATAAAATGTAAAGCATTACCCCATGTCAGGACAAAAAACATTTTTATTTTTTTAATATGTACTTTTTATTATTTTTCTTTCATGAATTAAAAAACAGAATTAAAAATTGTTTGGTAAATAATTTTTAAGAGGTTATCGTTCAGAAGAAAATGTAACGATATTATTACGAAATACATTTGATAGCAGCCTACTAGATTCTTTATCCAAAAATGTTTTTTGTCATGACATGATTGTAATGCTTTACATTTTATTTTTTAATTTCAAATCGGTGAGTTTTACCAAAAAAACACAAGAGATAAAAAAGTGTCTAAACAAATTAAACTATACAAATTTTTTTTGCATGTGTTTGATAAGATTTTTCTTTAAATTTCGTTAACAAGAATGATAAGGGTGTTTATTTCAACCCCTTCCACTTATTTTAAAAAAGTGAAAAAATTACCAGAAAGTGTGTTTTCATAACAGTAATGCTTCCAAAAAATTTCATTAGTCTATCTCTTTTCGTTTTCAAGATAAAAAATAAAAACATTATTTTTCCGCCATCTTTGTACCGCGATATCTCCCTAATGGTTGACTTTTGACCCAACGTTTATGAAGCAAACTACCCTTTATTTTGAACAAGGAATCAGCCCCTCAAGTTTTTCGCATTTGTTTTGAAACACCCTGTATAGTAGTGAGCCACTTTTGAGACGCACCCGGTATATTATTTTTGCAGCTGAGGGCTATTATACGGAAAACTATATTTTAGATAATGTTTTTATGTTAAATCAAATTAAAATTGGATCAAAAAAGCTATACAGGATGAGACAAAATTAATATTGAACATTTAAAAGTTATTCTTTTATTTTAAATGGAACATCTAGTATACTATTCCAATATTGTTTAATGGAGAATTCATATCTTTTCAAAATATCACATGATTGAAAAAAAACCGGTGTCAAAGACGGCTGGGAATGACAATCGATGATAATTTTGGTGAGGTTAATCTCTATATCTACTTCCTTACCTGTCTTGCTTTATTTTCGTAATTATAATCATGTATAGCTTCATCTCAGGTGTAAATCTGAGGGTTATGTCATATAAAAGTGCTCTATTTACAAATAATAACAATAAAGACTTTAATTTGTTCAACTCGATATACAGGGTTGTTCACCACATACGACACGGAGTATTGTAGCTAAACGATTAGATTTTTACAAATTGTAAGTTTTGGGTTCGTTGAAGGACTATTAGAGGTACAATTTAAAAATATTTTACAAGATAGAGTGTGCTAAATAAAATTACAGTTGAGGGTTCCCAAGCAGCATTTGGACGTCGGGACAATGTTGTGTCACGCGACCAAACGTCGGGGCGCAACGTCGGCACAACCTCATGCCAACCCTAGTCTGCACTAATTTGGAGAATAATTTTTGGGTCGAAACGACGTTGGATACCGACGTTGGCTAGAAGCCTAATTTAGTACAAACTGCAACGTTGTTTAAAATCCTAATTCACGGAAATACAAAACTAATATGGCGTCTAAGTCGCGTTTTATCCTAAATTGGGATAATTATAGTAAAAATATTATATTTATAATTTAGTTAGAGACATATGTCAGATGGCAGTGAAGGAAAACAAAACAAAAGTATTTAAGTGTGGAGGATGTTTGAAGATCATAATTATTGAAACACTTTAACCGACTCTGTAACTCGTTACCCAAGGTAAAAAGTTAAACGCAAACAACTTTATTGATAAATGTATTGTTTCTACTTTAAAAAATACTAATGGGCCTTGAAATTAAAGAAGTTTTAAAAATTTTCTTGAATTTTTTTTTTAGTAAAATGAGAATAATTTATTCGCATTCGAAAAAATTGTTTCCGCGTATTTTTTAGGGTCAAATATTTCAAGTTAATGTATTCAAAAAGCAGGAATTGCTATTTTAAGAACGAAACATTTTCTTATTTAACAACATGGCGGCTTTAACTTTGTTGTTTTGGAGATTAAGATGGAGTAGTTCGAGTAGTCGCATACTGGACTAATAAAGTCGCAGTTCGGCCTTAACAGGTAGTATACTAGTCGCAAGATTGCCTAATTTAGTCATTCTAGAGTCTAGCTTGTGCCGCCCTCTATAATCTAAATAAACGAGGAAGTGTCGGTAATATATGTCGATGTATATTTAAATTTAGTTTTATATGTACCTTTCTTATGTCCCATTTTAATTAAGTTTTTTTTTTATAAAAACAAAAACAGCACTGAACTGTCTGACTGAACAGAACAATGAATTGAAAATTTAAGATTTAAGGTTATGGTTCAATACAGTTGCAAAAAGGTAGTGACTCTACGTCCTACCAACGTAAGAATAAGGAAATCTAAACAACGTTGGAATTAGTAAAACAGACGACGTTTGCATAACGTTGGAATAGGTCCTGAAACTGACGTCGGAAAACTCTATATTATCCAACGTTGTAACTACGTTGTCCAAATCACCTAAAGATCACTTAAGCAAAAAAGGTTACAAGACAACGTTTATTCGACGTCGCAGAAGCTTCTACTTTGCTGTAGTACTAGTCCAACGTCGGCACAACGTTATAAAAACGTTTAAATTTATTTTAATACCCAAGGTAGGGAGCTAACTATTTTTTGTAACTAATCCAACGTTGTGTTTAGTAAACATGTGGTCGCAAGTCGTGAAAATGCTACTTGGGTTGGAACCTTTGGTGTTACACAGCAAAATAAAAACACTAAATCACCACAATACACTAAAACACTTTTACTTTTACACTGGACGCGCATTTCGCTAACCATGTCAGCATCATCAGCAGATGATTATAAACTAAAATACAAGCTACAAGTTGAGCGTTTATATACTCGCTCAGTGGGCACCGCGTGGGCGTGGCAAGATCTAGCCAACCGAGTCAGAGCCTACCAGTTAAATTTCCGCCACTAGAGTAGTAGGAACAAAGAACTTGAAGGAATTGGACCGTTGTCTCTGTTTATACTATCTTTACATTTATTAATTCTGATGCTTTCATATGTATCTAATTGCTTGTAATTTGAGACTTCTTTAATTAATTTTAAATTATTAAGATCCCAACAATATGTTGGGCAAACTAGAAGATCAATATTAACTAGATTAAAGAACATTTAGCTCAGATAAGATATGGTAGACCGGATAAATCTTGCGTTGCCGAACATATTGTTGATAAAGAACATTGTATAGATCTTAATAATTTAAAATTAATTAAGCAAGTCTCAAATTACAGGCAATTAGGTGCATATGGAAGCATCAGAATTAATAAATGTAAAGATAGTATGAACAGAGACAACGGTCCAATTCCTTCAAGTTCTTTGTTCCTACTACTCTAGTGGCGGAAATTTAACTGTTACGCTCGGTGGGCTCTGACTCGGTTGGCTAGATCTTGCCACGCCCACTCGGTGCCCACTGAGCGAGTATATTAACGTTCAACTTGTAGATTGTATTTTAGTTTATAATTATCTGCTGATGATGCTAACATGGTTAGCGAAACGCGCGTCCAGTGTAAAAGTAAAAGTGTTTTGATGTATTGTGGTGATTTAGTGTTTTTGGTTTGTAAATAAATATACAGGGTTGTTCACCACATACGACACGGAGTATTGTAGCTAAACGATGATATTTTTACAAATTGTAAGTTTTGGGATCGATGAAGGACTATTAGAGGTACAATTTAAAAATAATTTTACAAGATACAGAGTGTCCCAAATAAGTAAAAAATGTCAAAGTTGTATTTTTTTTAAATGGAACACCCTGTATATTATTACATTTTTAGTTTCTACGATTAAAATAAAGGTAAATTTGATTAAGGTTTATTATACTTAAACCTTACCGTTTTTGAAATATTTTCAATTTTGTGAAATTGCAGTAAAAATTTTAAGGCTTCATTTCTCCAAGGGTATCAAAGTTTTTAATACTAAATATTTACTGGTTTATTTACTGATCAGTTATTGTGTTGCAATAATAAAAATAATACTACCTTATACAGAGTGTCTAAAAATTTATTTTAAATAATTATTAGCTTCAAACGGTAATAACTTGTTTAATTTAAATAGACTGTATATTTTACGAGAATCAGATGCACAATTTAATTGTCTATCAAATTATATTATACCATTTTTTACCTATCTGTTTAAGTTTCCGTAGAAAATGCATTTTCTTGTAATTTAGAACTTATTTATCAATATACCCATGGACTATTGACATTTTAGATTATTTTTAAAGATGTACCAAATTTTTAAAGAGTACAGATAGTAATATTGTCGATATAATTCGTTTATTTCATTGAAAAATAAAAAAAAAGTGTTTAAATATTTGTTAAAGAGGATCAATTAATATGATTCCAGTATTCAAACTACATTAACTGACTGTTTGCGTTGATTAATAATAATTGCTCCAAATACTAAAAAACTGAATTTTGTATGGGATTAGACAGTGTGATAAAAAGTAACACCTTAAAAATGATATTTCATTTTTTATAAATGCTTATTTATAACAACAGAGACTTTAATTTGATAACTTATTATTATATTGATTTCTGACTCAAATCCACATTTTATTTATAATAATTTATTAACGAACACAATTAAGTATGTAATTAATTAGTATATGGGCGGAAATAATGGTGTTATATTTAATTAATGGTATACTTTTATAAAGATTTAAATAGTTTTTTTTTGCATACAAATGGGCTAGTAATATTATCGTTTTGCTAAAAACGATAATATTACTAGTCTCGTACATTTTGTACATTTGTTGCTTTAAAACAATCTAAAATGTCAATATTCCATGGATATATTGATAAATGAGGTCTAAATTATAAGAAAATGCATTTTCTACGAAAACTTGAAGGGATAGGTAAAAAATGGTATAATACAATTTGATAGACAATTTAATTGTGCATCTGATTCTCCTAAAATATACAGGGCATTCCATTTAAATTAAAGAAGTTATTGCCGTTTGAAGCTAATAATTATTTAAAATACATTTTTAGACATTCTGTATAAGGTAGTATTATTTTTATTATTGCAACACAATAACTGATCAATAAATAAACTTCATTAAATATTTACTATTAAAAACATTGATACCCTTGGAGAAATGAAGCTTTAAAATTTTTACTGCAATTTCACAAAATTGAAAATATTTCAAAAACGGTAAGGTTTAAATATAATAAACCTTAATCAAATTTACCTTTATTTTAATCGTAGAAACTAAAAATGTAATAATATACAGAGTGTTCCTTTTAAAAAAATACAACTTTGATATTTTTTATTTATTTAGGACACTCTGTATCTTGTGAAAATATTTTTAAATTGTAGCACTATTAGTCCTTCAACGAACCCAAAAGTTACAATTTGTAAAAATCAAATCATTTAGCTACAATACTCCGTGTTGTATGTGGTGAAACACCCTGTAGAGTTTTTCTTGAATACTTTAACTTTTGACCTACTTTTTAGAGCGCTGATACACCAGATTCCATAGAACCAGCGCCCAGCTCAGCTCGCCTGCGCAGGAACCTCAGCTACCCAGGAGTCCAGTTCTCACCCCAGCAAAAAGTCCTCAAAGAACTCCAAAGGGAACACCTCAAATTCAAGGAACAGCAGGAAAAAACCTTTTGGCAGAAAATCGTGGAGTTCATGGACTTCGACCTGCTCAAAGACCCGATCTATCTCAATTTGGTTTTCGGCCTTTCTGTTTTTTATGTTGCAGAGCAGAATTTCAAGATGGTCATGCCGTTCTTCTTCCAGAGTATCGGTTATACCAAGCAGGATGTTGCGTTGTTTTTGTCTGTGCAGGCTTTCACCGATGTCCTGGCCAGGTTGATTCTGCCTCCGATTTGTGACAGGTTGTTGATTTCAAAAAGGACGCTGTTTATGAGTGGGATATTTGTTTTGGGTATCTGCAGATCAGGTGAGGAATTTTTTGTATCTATTGTAGCTTCTAAGAAGGAGCATGGACATAATGAAAACTGGATAGGGAAATAAAAAATAGTATGGTATAAACGACATTGAGTATTATAAAATCAGTTGTAAAAAAACTTTAGAGACTGTTAGAATCACCGTCTTGGGACGCCATTTTTTCCTTTCTCATGACAAAAAATATGTAAAGTATGTTTTATATACAGGAATATTGAGACACCCTGTGTATTTTTTGTGATTTTTTTTCTAAAATACAATAAAAGAAATTCTAATAGTTCTATTATTCTGTTTTAAACCCTATCCAGTTTCCAAGTATTTTTTTATTTAGTGTTATACAGGGTGGTTCGAACTGTATTCCGGATACTTCGGCTGCATATTCTGCAGATAAAATTAAGTAAAAATAGGTCGTATAAATGTATGTCCTAAAATGTTTAGTTTTGGAGATATCGATTTTTTCTAAATAATTTCTGAAGTAACGTCAATATTTTGATAAAAATTGGTGTCTGGGAATTTTTTCACATGTTACATACCTTCTAACTTGTTTGAAGAGTACTAAGGTTTCGTCGGTAACTGTATAAAGCTACTGAGTAAAAAAATATACGTTTACGACATTCCACAGTGGTTCCCAGATAGGTCATTACTTAGAAATATTAATTTCAAAATGTTTGTATGAAACTGTTGCTAATACTTTTCTTATATTCCCCTGTAAACGATACATAATAAATAACAAAATCAAGTAAGCCTAGTGTAACGATTTTTTATTAGAAATGTCACATTTTTGCTATAGTCGAGTAAAAACGATATGAAAATGTGTCAAAATATTTTTTGGAGGTATAACTACATCATGGTACAAAGAAAACAAGGTATGATCGATAGCGGCTCCAATTTCGTTAAGTTTGCGCATACCACCTGTGACGTCATACGCCATACAAAAAAATATCCATATTGTTCAAATGCCACTAATAAAAAAAGGCCTAAAATAAGGAAGAATTAGGATATAACCCCAAAAGTTATGTCAAATCATCGAGCTTGACATTTGAAAAATAATTTTCACATTTTGACACAATCAAATTTCACAGATGACACAATCTGTTTGACCATTGGTTTGACCATTTGAAATTGGCGCGCAGAGCTTGCCGACCAATGGAGCCGTTTATCACCTGTGACGTAGTGACCAACCTTCGCAATATCATACCTTGTATTCTTTGTATCATGTAACTACATCATATCTATACAGGATTATCAGTTAGGGCTTTGTGTATGTGAAATGACTAATTACGGCCTTTTTGGGGGGGGGGGGTCAGAAATTTTTTATCTCGGAAAATGTCAAAAATCTGTCAAAAATTTATAACCATGTTTTTTTTTTCTTTCCTACGCGATAATTCCTAAACTAATCAACTTATTCACATACTTTTTTTTTTAATCGATTGAGAACACATAGGCGGTTATAGCTGAAGTAATTAAAGTTCCATAGTGAGTGTATTTTCTTTTGGAAAATGGATTAAACTTCAAACATTAGTTTTTATTAAGACCGACTCTGACGACTCGTGTACTTGTACAAACAGAATTTGTTATTGGGATATACCTGCCATGTAATGTAAGTGGTTTCCTTGTGCAATTATTTGTCGCTCGCCGCGTAGCTTGAGCGCCGAGCTTGTTGCAAAAAATGTTGTTTACAAAGATAGTATACTTCAAAATAAAAACACTAAATCACCACAATACACCAAAACACTTTTACGTTTACACTGGACGCGCGTTTCGCTAACCATGTTAGCATCATCAGCAGATGATTATAAACTCAAAAAGTTTTGCTAACATGGTTAGCGAAACGCGCGTCCAGTGTAAAAGTAAAAGTGTTTTGGTGTATTGTGGTGATTTAGTGTTTTTATTTTGAAGTATACTATCTTTGTAAACAACATTTTTTGCAACAAGCTCGGCGCTCAAGCTACGCGGCGAGCGACAAATAATTTTTGTTTAAAGAATTTTGGTTTTTCGGGTTATTAGGCCGTCGTCGGTTAGAATTGCTTCCTAACGTTTCGCTAGCACGAGTTCTCTACTATAAAACAGGGGATTATCGGAACATTAGCAAATAGGGCAAGACGTATCTGTGCTAATGAACACATCCAAGAGGAACTAAGTCATTTAAATAAAGCCTTTCTTGCCAATGGCTATAATGACAGAGAAATAAAGGCGGCGCTGGCACCTAGGCAGAGGAGACCTGACGCCAATGAACAGGAAAACATCATTAATAAGGCCTTCCTTCCATATGTTTCCCAGGTCACCGATAGGATTGGTAAAGTTCTCAAGAAGCATAACATCAAAACCATATACAAACCTACCCGAAAAATAAGGGACTGCTTAAGACCAGCAAAGAGACAAAGAGAACCATTATCCTCTGCAGGGATCTACCGTATACCTTGTTCCTGCGGTAGCGTATATATTGGAACTACCAAACGCTCAGTAGGAACGAGACTTACGGAACACAAGAGAAACTGCAGATTAGGGCAAACAGAGAAGTCAGCCGTAGCAGAACATGCTCTAAGAGATGGTGACCACAAAATCCAATTCGAAGACACCCAAGTCATTGCCACAACATCTGGATATCATCCTCGTCTGGTCAGGGAAGCTGTTGAAATTCACAAACATCCAAATAATTTCAACAGGAAGGAAGAAACTTTCTACCTTAACAGAATTTGACATCCAGCTATATCTAGGACCAAAGTAGCAGCACAGAGAAGTAGACCAGTTCTGGAAGAACTACCACCCGAACAAGCCACGCCCCCTCCGCCGACGCATAAATACGCGCTACGCCGACGCGGAGGCATCAGTCTAGTGTGAGCAATCGGAGCAAACACACCTCTGAAGATGCTAGCCACTCGTGCTAGCGAAACGTTAGGAAGCAATTCTAACCGACGACGGCCTAATAACCCGAAAAACCAAAATTCTTCAAACGATGGCCGCGAAAGCCTAAACTACTACAATTTTTGTTTAATCTCCAAAAAAATTTATGTTTAATTTAAAAAAATAAAAACTTCTCTAATTTATAATTTCAGTCAAATAACAATCTACTCAACATGTTTATTTTTTGTCAATAATGACGTGTATTGACTACTTCCATTCTAAATAGCTTGAGAACGGTTGCTCGTAGCGATTGTTGCGAAGAGACATTTCTTACGTAAAAAACACAAAAGTGGCGCATTCACCATTTTGTCAATATTTTTTAAAATATTTGAAAATTTTTTGCGGCATTCAACATTTTGTCAACATTTTTTTGTTATTATTTATACACTAATACCTATAATATTTTCGTTTTAGTTTGGGCTAAAACACATTAAGTAAAAAGAGATACAACCAGTTTTCGATAAATACATTATTTTGCATTCCAGTGCAAATATAATTAAATTTAAATTAAATATAAACATTATATAGAGTGTCCCCCATAAAGTTGGATCCATATGGACGTTAGAGTTTAAAAAAATATTTTTGTGGCAATCACTTCTGCCTTGAAAACAACTTAAAATGCACAGTAGTTTTATACAGGCACGGACGAAAAGTTATTAGTCCTCAAAACAGTTAAAACACAAACACATCCAAATATTGACGTTACTTCAGAAATTATTTGGAAAAAATTGAAATAAAAATTAAACTTCTACACCCTGTGTCTCCGAAACTAAACAATTTGGGACATACATTTATACGAATATGCTGCCGAAGTTTCCGGAACACAGTTCGGACCATGCTGTATATTTATTTTCTTGAAAAGAAACGTACATGATTTTTTCCACTTCATTTTTTACAACCTTTGTTTCTTTTTTTCATAACAATTTTAAATTTTACAATTTCTTAGTTATACTGCTGCAACTGTTAAAGTATTTTTTTTAAATATAACATAAAATTAATATCATATTTTTTTTTAAAATAAGTGTATTTTATTTTCACTAATCTATCTAAAAACTAATAAAGAAGAATAAAAAGAAAATCAATTTTTAAGCTTTAAACTTCATTCAGAACCTCGCAATTAGTGGAATAAATTAGTGGTTTCAATTACACTTTATACTTTTTATTTTACGATCATTCACAATGTTTAAAAAAATACACAATTAAAATTAATAGAATATCCTAGCAACTGCTTGCGTTAGTCAGTTGTATCCATAGAGAAAGACTAATATTTAGCTTATAAAACAATCAATTTTTTAAATTATGTCAAATACTAGCTAAAACACTTCCTTCCATGATCAATTTTCAATCAAAATTTGCCATAAAGAATTCTTTTGAGTTGCTAGATAATTTGAAAAATATTGAAGTTCCACATAATGCAACACTCGTTTCTTTCGATGTCAAAAGCCTGTTCACTTCTATCCCAACCCATGAATTGTCCTCTATTATTTATGAACTAATTGATAAATCTAATCTTAATATAATAGTAAAATCAGATTTAATAACAATAATTGAAACTTGTTTAGAACAAAACTATTTTCAGTATAACAATGAAATATTTAAACAGAAAGATGGGTTACCGATGGGTTCCCCAATTTCACCGTTATTCGCAGAAATATTTATGGCAGATTTTGAAAAGAAGCTAATTAAAAACAAGAGTAGTTTAATATCAAAAATAAATTATTGGGCAAGATATGTAGATGACATTTTTTGTATTTGGTCAGGCACCGAGAGAAATTTAAACAGTTTTTTAACATTATTAAATTCAATTAACCCGAGAATACAATTGACCATTGAAAAAGGTATTAATACCATCAATTTTCTTGATGTTACAATTATAAAACAGTCTAATAGATTACAATTTGATATTTACAGAAAACCCACTACCACAGACACTGTAATACATAGTCAATCACACCAATCCTGGCAAATCAAAATGTCACCCTTTCATAGTTTAATTCATAGATTAGTAATGTTTCATAGATTAGTAATGTTTCCACTTTAAAATTCTCTGGGCTGAATTTTAGAAAAGAGTTAAATATTATTAAACAAATCGCCATCAACAATGGATGTAAGTGTTCCCTTATTGATAATATGCTAAAGAAAAAACAAAAGAAAATATTAATGAAAAAATTTTATTCCGCTAATTCTAAAGACAATAACAATTATCGATTTTTAAACTACATTCCTAATTTAACTAACAAAATATCAAATAATCTCAATAAAATAGGATGTAAAACTATTAACGTAAATAAAAGAAATTTAGGTGAAATTTTATTAAATAATAAAGACAAAACTAGTGTCAAAAATAAGTCGGGTGTATATAGGGTGGATTGCAATGATTGTGATGCCGTGTACATAGGCCAAACAGGTAGAAATTTAGATATAAGGATTAAAGAACATGTAAAGTCTATTAATAATCTCCAGCATAGTTCTGGTCTTGCAACTCATTGTATAGTAAATAATCACAAAATTAATGAAAACTCAATTAAGTTACTACACAGAGAAACAAAAGGTAGACGCTTAAATTACATTGAACAGTTAGAAATACTAAAATCTGTTAAAAACGAAAATAATGTTAACGACCAACAAGGATTTCTAAACACATTTTTTATTACCCCTATTGTAAACTCTCTGAACCCACCCCCATAGCAAATATATATATATATATATATATATATATAGTTACTGTGTAGTTAGACGATTAGTTCTTAAAAAACTCTTGAAAAAGGCCTAACAAGCCGAAACATATATGTAGAGTTAAAGTTACTCTTATTAAAAGTTTTTTGAAACATCTAAAAGCGTGCTTTATTAAAATACTAATATTTCAACGATGTTTCACAAGGAACCAACCACAGCTTCAGTACAATTTATTAATCAATTTTTGATTTATAACCACAATTTCTCTTGAACGGAAGATAATCGCAGGCCAAAATGACATTTCTCGCAAATTTTGACGTATAATTAGTGGAAAAGTTAAAAGTTTGATAACTTTTTCGACTAATTGAAAATGTCTACCACTAATTTTGAACGTTCTGAATGCTTACACTGAAATTAAAGGAACAAACTTCTACGCTAGTTGACACCACTAATTTATTCCACTTATTGCGACGTTCTGAATCAAGCTTTAGTAATAAATATAGTTTGAAAATATGAAAACATAGGGCTCGAACACACTGACGACCAGGTCGCACCGGCCAGGCCGCTGCTACCTCTAATACTATATAAGATACATAAGATACAGCGCACACTAACGTCCTGGCCGTCCGTTGGAGGAGTGTCTAGCCCTAGCAGTCAACTTTTCAGCTTGTCCAATCAGGTTGGTTAGAAAATTAAGAGTAAAAGTAACTTAAACATTCATTAAAATAGAAATATTTACTGTTGTAGATTCTCAGTAACAATAAAAAAGAGGAATTTATATTGTAAACATTGAAATAACTGGAAGCTAAACTTTCTACCTGCTTATATTTAGAGCCAGTGTCTGACGACCTTTTTTTACGATGGCCCTAATATGTTTACTTCCAAAGTCGATAAGAGCCATCAGTAGAAGTCCATATCAGTAGAAAAAAGAAACAGAATATCTCCCTTTTTGTCGGTCGCGTTTGTTCTGCTTGTTCGTGCGCGCTCGGTTCGTTCGGGCTAAAATGCTCAAGTCTGGACGCACCTTTAGAAACAATACTGTTTTGTCCTTTATGGATATAATGCTGAAAATCTCACGAGTTACATGTCTCACTCTACACATATTAAATTACATAGACGTAGGATGTAGAATATTCTGTTATGAAACGACTGATGGAATAGCAGGCATCGCGGATTTGAAAAACATGGAAATAACGACGTTATAGTGTGGTCGGGGTTGGAGATTTTACTTATCCATTTTCCACACCAGCATTTATTAACGAAAAATCCAAGAATATTTTAAGTGCATTATTTAATATTAGAACATTTAATAAGCTCATGAATAGCAACTTCGCTTTTTAGTTAACTCGGATATTTTAACATTTCTGAAACTTAATTCTTTCTGAAACAATATTTTCTAATTGGTAAAACGTATAAAATCGTTAGATCTGACAACTCTGTTGGAACTGGTCGTTCATCTGGCCGCAGCTATAAACGCAATACATCCGGCCAGCCGTCAGTGAGTTCGAACCCAATACAGGATATCGTATCTGTAATTTCGATTCTTTATTATCTATTACAAAATAAATCAAACGTATCATCCCTTGTTTGTTTATTTCAGTTGATTTTATACTATACAATCTCAAAGCACATTTTATACATTGTTTAGTTACTTTTGATTTACAACAAGTTGTATTCTAATACTTGTATGATTTTTGTTGGCAGCGCTGGTCACTAGCGGGCCCATCTTCAAATAGGTAACAATCACATTTGACACAAGCGAAAGTAAGCTTAATAATTATTAAGGCATACTTTTTCTTTTCATTTTATTTTATTCCATTATTTTTTCTTTGTTTTAAACCAGATTTATTTTTTTAAAGGAACTTCGAATACGACCTGTTCCTATTTTTTCATTACATATTATATCGTTTTATTTTTTTATTATTACCTAATTCTTATGGTTAAAAGCTTTAATTCTATCAAGTTCCTGAGGAAGAGAGTCAACATTGGGTTTGAGAGTTAGATTTTGAGGTATTTCTATATTTTTTCCAGTCCTAGCTCACCAAACTGAATATGTATGGATTTTGGTTTGGTTGGTGATAGCTGGCTTCACCAGAGGAGCTGCGTTGATCAACTTTGCTATCACTATATCCGAGTATGCTACTTTGGAAAAATTACCTGCTGCTTTTGGACTTCATAACGTTGGGAAAGGATTGTTTGTGGTTATCCTAGGACCTGTGTTAGGTAAAACATCCTTTACTTGTTTTCTTAAAAAAAATACTTTGATATAAACTTTTATAACACCTTTTTTTTCACTTATACTGTGATTATATACTATACTGTGATTTTCTTGCAGTGGCAAAATACTCATATAGGATTTTTTGGGAAAATAAATACAATTCAGACCACCCTGTATATTTGTCTGATGATTGGTCTAACATTACTATAACTTTTTCTTATATTTTTTTAAGGTAAAATTCGAGATATTACCCAAAGCTACCCCATCTGTCTCCATTCCCAAACCCTTCTCATCATGACATGTGTCATAGCCTGGTCCATCGAGTACTGCATCAGATACTGCAAAACGAGAACATCAGAATCAGAAAAATCAGATACAGACACGACGAACACATGACAAACAGATCTGGACTAAGGAATTAGTGATGGGCATATCGATTTTTAAGGGAAAATATCGATACGTCTCAGCACTAAATAAATTAGTCCTACCTTATTTTTTTCCAAAAAGATTTATTATATATTGTACTGTATTTTTAGTATTATATTTTTTTACTTAAACTGTTTTTTTTTTGTTCGTTACAAGTATATTCTAATTATTTTTAAATAATCTGTTAAAATATGACTTTTTGGTTCATTATTTTAATCTTCTACCCTTAAGTGAGTTTCAAAAAGAGATTTAAGTATAAAAATGGATTATATTATTTTCAAAAAGTATAGAATATTAATTTAGATCAATGGTAAATAACTTAAATAAAAAAAACTTGCCAAAAGAAATATATTTTGGTCAATTTTCTTGATGCTCTAAATTTTTAAAGAAAATTATTTTCAAAATATTTGAGTATAATTTAAAAATGAATATTAAAAATTCATAAAAAATATGTTTATTTTTTTAGTTAAAAAAATCTGAAAAATATGTAGTCTTTATTTAAAACTAATCCGTTTTTGAATAATTATTTATAATAAAAAATGCAGAAGTGTACCGAAATAATCGAAAAAAAAGGTGTCGTAGAGTCTTTGAAATATACCTCGACAATATTTTCTGTCGGGCCAATACATATATTTTATTTATTAAAATTGACATTAAAACTTGTTTCCGCGTTTAATTTTTTGAGATATTTTTTTATCAGTTTTTAATACATGATATAGAGGTTGGCTCGACAAGGATTATCTTTGAGTACCCAATTCAAATGCCACTGTGACGCCGTTTTTATTCAATAACTTTTTTTATTATATGTGGTGATAAATATTATCAAAATGATAAAAGTTATTATGGAATAAATGAACAAATAAATTGTTGGAAATGAGTGTAAGTAGATAGTTTGGTGTCTTTATTTTCTTTTTTTGTAAAAAAATCACTTTAATAAAGAAAATTTTAGGAAAAATATATTTTTTACTTCTTTAAAAGCTTAAATTTTATAAATGGTTACTTTTCTTAAAATTTTCTTGATCTTATTTATCTCAAAATCTATGCAATTGGCAAGGTAACATTTTCTACAAAAGATATGCAAAATTGTACTTATATTACTTAATATTATGTAAGTACAAAGATTTATTCTAAAAGTTCGTATTATTAAAATATATTTTCATTACTTTTTACAACGATTTCAAGAAACACCAATATACAGGGTTGTTCACCACATACGACACGGAGTATTGTAGCTAAACGATGAGATTTTATAAATTAGAAAGTTTTGCCTGATGAGCGACTATTAGAGGCGCCAATTTAAAATAATTTTACAAGATACAGAGTGTCCCAATAAGTAAAAAATATCAAAATTGTATTTTTAAATGGAACACCTGTATATTATTACATTTTTGTTTCCACGATTGTGTCGCCGCGGGGTTCTGATTAAGATTTATTATACTTAACCTTACTGTTTGAAATATTTTCAATTTTTTGGAAGTGCACAAATTTAAGGTTTCATTTTCCAAAGTATCAAAGTTTTAATACTAAACATTTACTGAAGTTTATTTACTGATCAGTTATTGTGTTGTAATAATAAAAATAATACAGAGCTTCTAAAAATTTATTTTAAATAATTATTAGCTTCAAACGGCAATAACTTATTTAATTTAAATGGAACACCCTGTATATTTTACGAGAATCAGATGCACAATTTAATTGTCTATCAAATTATATTATACCATTTTTTACCTATCTCTTTAAGTTTCCGTAGAAAATGCATTTTCTTGTAATTTAGAACTTTATTATATACCCATGGACTATTGACATTTTAGATTATTTTTAAAGATGTACCAAGTTTTTAAAGAGTACAGATACTAATATTGTCGATATAATTCGTTTATTTCATTAAAAAATAAAAAAATGTTTAAATATTTGTTAAAGAGGACCAATTAATATGATTCCAGTATTCAAACTACATTAACTGACTGTTTGCGTTGATTAATAATAATTGCTCCAAATACTAAAAAACTGAATTTTGTATGGGCATTAGACAGTGTGATAAAAAGTAAGACCTTAAAAATGATATTTCATTTTTTAATAAATGCTTATTTATAACAACAAAGACTTTAATTTGATAACTTATTATTATATTGATTTCTGACTCAAAAATCCACATTTATTTATAATAATTTATTAGCGAACACAATTAAGTATGTCATTAATTAGTATATGGGCGGAAATAATGGTGTTATATTTAATTAATGGTATACCCTTTTATAAAGATTTAAATAGTTTTCTTTTTGCATACAAATGGGCTAGTAATATTATCGTTTTGCTAAAAACGATAATATTACTAGTCTGTACATTTTGTACATTTGTTGCTTTAAAAACAATCTAAAATGTCAATATTCCATAGATATATTGATAAATGAGGTCTAATTTAGAAGAAAATGCATTTTCTACGAAAACTTGAAGGGATAGGTAAAAAATGGTATAATACAATTTGATAGACAATTTAATTGTGCATCTGATTCTCCTAAAATATATAGGGCATTCCATTTAAATTAAAGAAGTTATTGCCGTTTGAAGCTAATAATTATTTAAAATAAATTTTTAGACACTGTGTATAAGGTACTATTATTTTTATTATTGCAACACAATAACTGATCAATAAATAAACTTCATTAAATATTTAGTATTAAAAACATTGATACCCTTGGAGAAATGAAGCTTTAAAATTTTGACTACAATTTCACAAAATTGAAAATATTTCAAAAACGGTAAGGTTTAAGTATAATAAACCTTAATCAAATTTACCTTTATTTTAATCGTAGAAACTAAAAATGTAATAATATACAGGGTGTTCCATTAAAAAAAATACAACTTTGATATTTTTTATTTATTTGGGACACTCTGTATCTTGTAAAAATATTTTTAAATTGTAGCTCTAATAGTCCTTCAACGAACCCCAAACTTACAATTTGAAAAAATCTCATCGTTTAGCTACAATACTCCGTGTCGTATGTGGTGAACAACCCTGTATAAATTGCCTACATTTTAATTTCCATATTTTTATTTTAAAGAAAGTTAATAATATACAACACATAAAACTAGTGATAAATGTTTAGAAAGCTCTTTAGACAAATTTAAAAAAAATATTGGTCAAATTTATTAACTAATCTTTTCAAAGTAAGAAGTGTTTTTAGAAATTTTTAAAATTTAGTTAAACTGGTCCTAAAATTTACTAAAAAAACTACAAAGAAGAGATATAGTCTGTGAAACGATTAACTTTGAATTTGACAGTTCCCGCGGGCTTTCCTAGTGTTAATTTTATTAAGTTAGCAACTTGCGGCCATGCTGATGCAATGCCGTCTCTAATAGAACAGCCACGGGCGAATTTTATGACGTCACGCTAGTTGGATACTACGGATTAATAAATATGTTGTAGAATACATGGAAAACATAATTATTCCTCGTATATGTAATTTTATGGATTATATTCGACACTATTTTTTTCATATGACACAACACTGATGAAGGCTATAAACGTTAGCTATAACGTTTTTTTTTAAACCAAAAAAAATAATGAAAACTTAATCAGCGTTTTTCCCGAACCTAAATCCCAAGAAAATCAAAAATTTTAGAATAATTTTACATATAAAATGACAGCGATCTTTATTTCATAGCCATCGCTGACGCCTTTTTTTCTATGATATTGTATTATTTGCAAATATAAATTTTTCAAACATTGATGCTTTCAAAATATACATATAAATTTTGTGAATGCAAATAATAATATATCACTATTAGTAGATATTGAATGTTTTTTGTTAAATTAGATCGATTTTCAAATCCCAAAATTTAAAATATATTTTACATTTTACCCATTATCTTATGTACCTATTCATTATTTGTATATTGTAAAACATTTGCTGCATTTGTATGGTTCATAGTTTATTTGCCAAAGTATTTATTACTATAAATAGTATATATATTGAATTTATTAACTGTATATTATGTATATTTCATGTAAACTATATCATTTTTAAAATACAAACCAAAAATACGAAGAATAATTATGTTTTCCATGGATTCTACAACATGTTTATTAATCCGTGGTATCTAACTAGCGTGACGTCATAAATCTCGCTCCGAGGCTGTTCTATTAGAGACGGCATTGGGCTGATATTTAGAAATGTCAAAAGCTGATGACATTTTACTTTTGTCAATTATGACATTTCGCGTCGATTTTTGCAAGAGGAAGAACTGTCACTTGTTTTATTATTTTCCTTTTCTATTTCATGAAAGTAAAAAGAGTTACCTACCTGATTCGTTCAGGCACTCATTTTAAAGAATATCAGTAACTTTTTGGACAGAGGGATTTGATATTTGCCATGTTGGTAAGAAATAACGGTCAAAATTCAAAGTTATTCATTTTATAGACTATATATATTTAGATAGAATATAATAAACAAAATTAGACTTGCAACTTAATTTAACATAATTAATGTTTAGAGTGTCATAAAATGAATCTAGTATAGAAGATTTAACAATATTTCTTTATTTCTAAACAGACCATACAAATTATAAGTTTAAAACTGTTTAGTTTAAAAGGCAAAAAATTACTTTTTAATAGACAGTAAATCACATAAAGTAGGATAATAAAGAACGTCATGGTAGGCTTAGAAGAAAAGTTTATTAAGCACCCCTACTCTGACGTCGTTTTTATTTTGTAAAGAAAAATGTTTGTATCTGTAAACGAAACCTGCCAGGTTTAGCAATGTTACCAACATAAGGTACAGTGCGTCTGTCCGTTCTGTAGCTACGGGGTATCCGTGAGAGGGGAAACGATATTCTCTCGATGTTTTTCGTAAAAAATTAGAGGACGCGTCCCATCAATAAAAATTCGACAAATTTGCAAGTAGCCAATAAAATGAGTGGGCGGAGCGATTTGCGGTGTCGTACTAGTAAAGTCGACGTATAAAATATATTGCTGTTTATTTAAATGTTTTTTGTCCGCATTCCTTTCATAGACACAGATCCAGCAGGCGCACTTTAGGTTAAAAAAATGGTTATAACAACACAGTGGTTGTTAAATAATATAGTGGCTAAACAATCATTTAATTTTCTTTCTGTATTAAACACAATATT